GGTACATTCAGAGTTTAAAAAATGGAACATAGTTTGTTTGAGTCATCTCCCCAGTTGAAGCCGGATCCCGGATCCTGCTGATTACGGTGCGGCAAGGCACACGCCAGCGATAGAAGGGAAGTCGGGGGCGTGAAGAGTGAATGAATGCCGACAAGCATGGTGGCACCCCCACAACTTGGAAGTTAAAAGCAGCACAGCCAACTATGGCCAACTGGCAACATGACGATTGGAATGGATCATGTGCGAGAAACAAAAAGTAAACCTTTATGATCCTTGATGGTTCAGGAGTCGTTCAAGACAGCTTCTCTCTTGGTCTATTATTTCTGGAATGGGGTGTGTCAGAATAGGCCCCCCCCCCCCGAATTGGTGGTTTCCTTTTTGGTCTCACTTTAAAGTCACCAAGCAAGGGGTACCTTCACTCAAGAAAGACAGACCCAAATGTCGGTGTCTCAAACAATCGCCCCGTCGAGTCTCTTCTCATGAGGCTCGCTCGCCCCTCTTTTCTTTTCGCTCCCTCACCGGCGAGATAAGGGCCAGACCACCAGGTCCCAGAGGATCAGAATGACGCCCAGTATGCCCCACGCGAGCCTCTTGCTGCCATAGGGGTTCCTCGGCTGCCCAGCTGCCCAGCTTGGGCCCAGAGATGGAAGCTTCGCCGAAGAAAGGAATGCAAACACGCGAAACTCAAAGTTCAAAAAGTCGATGAGCTTTGGTGCAAGTGAGTTCCCGAGCAAAAAAGAGAGAAAAAAAAGACGCAACTTCGAGAACGCAGTTGCGGCTCCGTCTGGGTGAAAAAGTGCCCTGCGCCAAGGTATGCCATGGATGCATCTCTCTCTCTCTCTCTCTCTCTCTCAAGATAGGCTTGCCAGATTGGCCTATAGTGAGCACCTTTTTTCTTTGAGCGGTTCAGTGCCAGTCATGAAAGTCTTACCTTTTGGAACAAAAACTGGAAGCCCAAGCGCTCAAAAGGTCAATTTGCAAATTCGCTTTAGACAACTGACTGAAACGTTGCACCAGCCCAAACGTAGCAAATCCACCCCCACTTGCCACCCTACCACCGCACTCACTGTAAAAACAACCTTTTGCCCACTGGATAGGAATGGTCCTCAACTTGGGACCGAAACTGGGCTGTTCCCGTTCGATCCGCTGCTTAAAGTCGAAAACTTGTAGTGGCTTCGTGGAAACTACCACGCTCCAACAAAAAGCTTTAAAACGATGAGGGACCGGATGGCTGGTCCCAGACTAAGATGGAGAGATCACTTAGTCTTTGAGCAGGCCACCTCCGGGGGAGGGAAAAAGACGATGGGGAGGGGTGTGGTGTGTGGTTCTTTTGGTTGGTCGTTGATGTGCAGAGGCTCATGATGTACCTCTGGAAGCAGGCATCATTGTCCAACAAGCTGTCCCCAGTCCTTGGCTGCCGTGAACTTGCCTTGCCGTGGACCTGCCTATTGGTACCTCCGGACAAACGTTCCACGCCCTTTTCCAATTTCGCTTCAAGCTCCTCTTTCCCTAGGTGTCGGCGTGAAGGTAGGGATACCCGATGCAAACAACAGGCTGCATCCTTGTGGTACGAAAGCTGTCTGCCTCACCCCTCGCATCCTTTTTAATTAGCCAAAACAATGTACGCCAGCGACGCGAGCAACCCTTTGTGTTCCAGAACCGCAGGTTTCAGATACACTACGAACTGAGCGTCCCTATACTTCAACTCACTTGGCTAGTGACCAGCCCAACCAAAGTGTGCACTTTTTGGGCCAGCACTAAAATAAAGGGAGAGCCACCAAGGAAAAAAGTGCAAAGTGTGTCCACTGGCTGGGTGAGTCAAAACAAAACGTGCAAATGGCAAGGACGGTGCCCGTTGACACTGGCGAGTGGCCTTCGGGAAGCGCTGCTTGAAGGGAGCACCCAACAAAAAACTACTTGGGTCTGTACTTGTTGAGGTTTCAAAACGGACCACCCTTTTTGGTGGGTTTGCCTGTCAAAAGACGCATGCCCATTTGCGTAGCATGCCAAGCACTAAAACATTTGCCTCCTCGAAAGTTTTCAAAAGTAGGGAGAATCACTCAACAACCCACCTCAAGATGAAACCAAAGCTAAATTGGAACCGCTTCTTCTGGTTCCATCTTCTAGTTGCCCAAATCCACTGAGTATTCCTTCTGACCCTTTTTGGTTCGGGCCCATGGGTCCCTTCCTTTTCCTTGGAAGCAGTTCTTTGCCTCAAGGGAAGCCACAGGAAGTTTGTCCCACTCCAGATGGGCGTTTGGCTTGTTGAAAGGGAACACAAAACAAACAACAAAAAGGGGCTACTTGTCCCTCTGCACAGGTGCATGCCACGCGCGCCAAGCGAAAGGACACCAGCCAGTTCAAACAGTTTGAAGGCGTCGGAGACAAGCTCTAGTGTCCCTGAAAGGCCCCGGAAATCCTCTTCTAGCACCACGGAATGAAACCAAGGAAAAAACATTTCGTGGCAGCAGAGGAACCACATCATTCCGTTGACTTCTCTGCACGTTGGGTTGACTTTTTTGGATTTCGCGCAACCCATCCACCAGAAATCTTAGCCAGGCCCAATACCCACGGCACCCCTAAGCCCCCGGCTTCAGCACCGAGGAGATGTTCAGTCGGAGCTTGGAGGCCGCCGCGAACCCGGCCTTCGGAACTTCGATTCATCGGAGCTGGCCGCGGAGCGGCGTTAAACCCAACACATTATCAAGGGCCCCTTAAATAAATAAATAATATATATATATATATAAAAACAGGTGGTGGGATCCATTGCGTCCCACAACCGGTTGAGTTCTTCAAGCAAGCCTTTTGCTGATGGGGTTGGTCAGGGCATCTGCAAGGATCCCAGCTGGCCAATCAAAACAGTATCTCAGTTTCCCGGAACCGCCTGGAACCCTCCGAAACCCTCGCACATCTGGCCACAGACCCCATAGCTTTCAGCTGTTCCTGCAGATTGATACTTGTTTGTTGCTACGACATATTTCTGCTCGTGACAACCTGTTCTAAAATACATGTACGATTCAACAACATCGCTCGAGTTGTTAGCAATCATGCACCCGTCGGATTCCATCCACAGCACCAGGTTTTGGATTTTCGCGCGATTGCACTTGTTGCGCCGGTTTGCGCTCGTGTTGCACTTTTTTTGTGCTCGTTTCGTTGATGACTCTTCCCAATAGCCTCGAAGCCGAAAAATGCTCGAAAGCAATCGTGGGGGGAAAACGCTACAACGCATCAATTTGTGTATCGAGTTAGGTGAGTTTTGGACGCATCCCTCTAGCCCGAGCCCCGTTGCTATGGAAACCGCCTTCCACTAAGCTTTGGTCAAAATCACAAAGGTAAAGATCCCGCGACCGTTTGCTTCTGGGAAAAATCAGTGAGGTCTCCCGCGTCCCACCCAGATGGACCATAGACTATACAGGATTTGTTGCCCGAAGCTCCGATGGAATCCCAGTTGACAAGAATCAAGCCCGGCCAATCCGCCAGATTGAGCAATCCGGGCCCAGCATGGATTACAGAAGCAAGCGGGGAACTCTAGAGGAAATTAACCAAACACTGCCCCCGGAAAAAAATGCGACTTGGCTAATACCCTGTGGAATTTCATTCGGCATCTCAGACGTCAAAACAGAATTGCGTGAAGGTGTCGGGGCAACATATGGGGAAATGCTGAACGACAACGTCCTTACTCCTGGTGCGGCATGAATAATACAGCGACTTCAACACCGCCCTTCAACTGGCTGAGCCCAACACCCCTCAATATGGACAATAAATTCTTCCTTGCCTTCAGCATTACTCAAGTGAAGCTAGCTTTCGTCTCAGAGTCTCAGGCAGCAGGACATTCACATTATGTGTCCCACTCAGCTCCAGATCGATGCGCTCGCTCGCTCGCAACTCGCTCGCGCCTGCTTGGCCGTTTGCTTGGCCACCCACAGAGGGTAGAGCTGCAAAGTGGGGCCCACGGTCCTCGCTGAGTTTTTCTTTTCGTATCCTCTGCTTAAAGCTTTGGGCCGGCTTGGGACCCCATCCAAAATGGAGTTTTCCCGTTTCTGCTCCTTTTTTTAATACAAGGGTTTCCCTATAACCATCAAAATGAGTACCCCCGTACTAAAGGCTGATCCATTTTAGAACATAGACACCCCCTTAGTCCCTTGGAGTGAGCCGCAAATGCTTTTCTCGAACCTCGACATTGAGAGCTTGAAGAGCAACGCTGGCCACTGATCATCTTGTTCTTTGGGACCCTCCAAAATGGTGGGTGTTCTGTCTGGTGTCCCTTTGAAAACCCACGAAAAACGGGCACCCTCAAAAAGGACAGACCCATAGGACTTTGTTGATCAGGACGCTTCGGGCTGGGGCTCCTTTCACTTGAATCTCGAGACTTTTTTTGCCAGAAAAAAACCTTCCATTCATCCATTTCAAGCGGATCCTGAGACGGTCACCAACACACACGCGGGAAAAAGGAAACTAGAGGCTCTAGGGAATCAACAAAACACACATCGCGTTGTCCATCCATCCCCTTTTGTCTTCCTTGCGGGGACCCGGAGGAGTATGGGCAATCCAGCCCGCATTGTCAACATTACTATCCACTCAAACATATCCTCAGCAGGACTGTGCCCAAAAAAACTAAATAGTTCATCCCTCACTGAAACTGCAGCCACCTCTGATTAATCCGGACATCTTGCTCCCAACCAATACTGGTCGACATTCACTTTGCGAGCAACACCACAGCCAAAACTGAGCCTTCCAATTTGTATACAACTTAAATCCATTGCCCCGCAAAACTCCGAAACCCAAATTCATGGCCAGTTTGGGAAAATCCGCACCAACATCTCCAAGCTGCCCTGGCGACCGCTTCTCCGGCAGCGGCTGCGCCAGCATCTGGGTGCGAGCGAGCTTGGCGGGGTGGCCAGTGGCGAGTGCACCAGCTGGGCCGAAGTTGATAAGCCCAAGCTTGTAACTCTCGGCTGCTCGTTCCTCCGAACCCTCGTCTAGTGATATCTTGGGTTCCACCACACCAAACACTGATTGAAAACTTGCTCCCCAAGGCCCCCCACATGCATCCCGCTTCTGCGACAATGCGCAACGTGGAGAGCTTTGGCCACGGAACCCCCGCAAACGTGAACTGGCGATACCTCCGACCAAACCTTTCCGCAGGAAACTTACGCAAATATTCCTTAGAGACGCCAGTGTTTTTAGCGCGTGTGCAGAAATCAGAGCTGCTCCCCTGCTTATTTCACGGGGAAACTAAAGGGGAGACTGCCCTCCCAAAAGGAAGCCCCTCTACAAATCCTTGCGTTTAGTCTGCAAGTATTGCAGCCCACGTTCGGCGCCTTGGGGGCGTGGAACTCCACGCCTGCCCCACCCCAAAAAAAAACACCTTTTTTGTTTGGGGGGGGGAGGTTCACCTTGTGTTGAGATGCTGAACTGATAGCCATTTGCATGATCTTCGCAGCCCCGATTTAAGCAGTGCTCAAGGTTGCACATGCCCCAACCTCAACGCCTTAAGGGGAGCAAGAAGGGGTTCTACTTTTCAAGTCTGGCTACACAAGGGAAAATGGAATGCGGCATAATTGAATGGAATTCCAATTGCCCCCCCCATTTCACCAATTGAGTTCTTAGGGGGGATGCTTGCGCTGATTACGAGGCTCGGGGTCCTTTCGACAAAACATCCCAACATCGTCTGTTTCAAAGAGAAGGTTGAACCGGCTGGTCAGAATCATGCTCTCCCTTCAAACCTTAGCCCACCCGAAGCAAACTCACTGAAATTAGGTCAACGAGTCCTGCGTCAATGGATCGTTGGGGGTTCCTTAGTGCGTTACTCTCTATGAAACTTTGGCTATCCCAACTGGTGATCCCTAATGTTGACCCCACATGAATCAACCTTTAGGGTTGATGAATAGGGGGGGTGTCCCTGGGTTTAGTGGGAATCATCACTTTTGGAGAGGAATACCCCCCTATTAATAAACTGGGGTTGATTAATATGGGGTCAAAATTATTGGCTGGGCTCTTACCTTTTGACTCACTTCCTGAGTGGACCGCAAGAAAACACCTTGTTTTCTCTTCAGTGGCCATCCTACAAGGTATATACATCCGAAAAAGCTCGGGAAGTGCGTTTAGTGTTCCTTTCAAGAAAATCCCCTTCATATAGGCGTCCTTTTTGGCTGGTTTGCTTGGAACGGCTTGAAAACAAATGCCCCTAATAAATTTAAAACAGGTAAACCAGGGCCAGCGAGTTTCATCCGAACCAGCCAAAAAGGACAGACTTGACCTCCGAGGCGCCGCATCCACGAGGTGTGCCCACCGACCCACGCAGCCCATGCGGTCCATGCTGCCCCCGGCCAATGGCTGGGAGTCGGCCTAAGCCGCGCAAGCGAGAAGGAACCCACCAGCTCTCAAGTCTGGATGTTTTGGTGATAGGCCCAGGTCAAGCCAGAGGGGTATGGATAGAATGAAATCAGAAAACCGCAGCTTTGTACCACTTTAGGGGTTACCCTATGTTTGACCCATTGTCAGAGGCTTGCATAGGCAAAGAAAAAACACGAGACCATTGGAAGCACCGAGCGAAGAAACGACATCAGTTCACCAACCGAAGCTAGACTGCGGGCTCTTGCCGGCGTCTAAACAAAACACAGGTCCCCATGGCTCTTTTGGTCACCGACGGGAGGAGGGACTTCCATTTCGCATGGCGGAGTCAAACAACCATGGGACCAAAACGGCCCTTCGGACCCCAGTGATCACTTCTCGTACGTAACCACCCAACCATTCGTATTTTTTGAAGAGTGGTTCCCTTGGTTACCTACAAAAAAGGGGGTAAATGGAATCACCATCAGCTTCATCGCGTTGGGCTCCACTGCCGTGGCCCCCCCAGGGGCTCCACACGGGGTCCGTCATCCTCCGCGTGACATCCGCGTCGGGCGGAGAAAGGGCCCGCTGCAATTCGCCCACGGGGGCAAAGACCTGGAGTTTGTCTCGTGGGATGTGGGAGTTTCTCCAAAAAGTGCTCAACATGCTTGGCTTTCCGTTGGCCCCCCTTCAGATACAACCAAAGGTGGGCGGTTCTACAATTTTAGGAGAAACACCCATATGGAGCTAAGATGGATGGTTTCCTTTGAGGTGAACATAGATGGCACAACTCCGCAAGTTTGGCTTACTTATCCCGGCCCACCGCCTGCCCACGAAAAAAAGCTGATTGGTGTCCGTTTGCGCGCTGTCTTAATAACGGGCCAAAACACAATCAATTTGGGCGAGACACTGACAAAATCATTGCTGGTCTGCTGTTGGCTTGGGAATTGCATGTCCCCTGCGAATCCAAAAACGTTCCAACCCCGAAAGTCACTCGCCAATCACCTCCTACATGCCCTTACCTATGCCAAGAGGAATGCATGCCAACCCAGAGTTGCAAGTAGGAAACAAGTTAAGTATAATAAGTTGCTGCGATTAACATAGAACCTGACAGAGACCCGTTCCCTTCAAAGGAAAATGGTCTTCCAGGACCCACGTGAGGTTCCATGTTGATTGGTGGGAGGGAAATACGGGCGACTTTTCCCATTTAGTAGGACATATCTGACATATCATCTTTTTAATTAGTGGTTTTCCCCCATGGCCATTCCACGTATCACGGACCTGTTGTACTACCCTTGGTTCGCTGGAGCACCTTTCTCCGCGCGAGCCTTGTCTACCTCCGCCTCCAGTCGAAAGCTGTAAACCTCCTGCAGCTCCCGCCTGCCAAGCGTTGGGGGGGGAGGAGGCGTTGGTGTCTGTTTCTTGCTGGTGCGATAGGCAGGGAATGGGACACGGAATGACAAATGACTCTTATAAACCATCCCCTGAGTTGGTTTCCTTTATTCGGGAATCCCCAGGTTCATTCTCTCCTTCCTGCACCAGCAAGTTTGCAACCCGCAAAAGATGCCCTCCCACACATAAACACAAAACATGTCCAACTGCAGCGTAGGCCCTGAAGATATCCAGTTCCATTCATGCCCGCGCAAAACACGGCCATTTTCAGGAGTGGAATGTCGTGGAATGTCGTGGATCTCGTGGCATTTGGGGCATGTGAAAGCGAAGGGGACACAAAGCTCGCCCAACAAGTGGGCGGCCCACGGGCCAAGTCCCAAAGGTTGGAAGCACTAAAGATAGCGGCTAGTCTTTGGCCAACTCTCGCTTAAGAAAAGTCTGAGCTATATATAGTAACCATCAGCTAGGACGCATTGAGAGATTTCCCAGGAAGAGGGTAGGCCACAATTTGGGGGTCCTTGTGCTAGGCATCAGCACGCCAACCGGAAGATTGAGTCCTTTACCAAGCAAACCAAGTCTTAGGACTGGACACTACGTGGTTACCAGAGGGTCCAACTATTGGGCCCTGCCTGCCCAACTCGTCACAGTCGACCAACCCACCAACCCGCCAATCCACCAATTCCCCCCCCCCCCCCCCTCACTCACCAACCACCAACTCCCCCTCTCCCCCCACCAAGACCTCCCTCTTCCCCCGACCGACCAACTCCCCCTCTGCCCCTCCTGAGGGTGTCCCGCTCTTGCAGTAGTTCTCCGCACGCTGCCTCATGGAGCCACACTATCCTCGGCTCGGCGCTTGAACCCGGTGAGTTCCCAGTGTCCCGGGAGTCACGTTGACAGGGATTTGGGTGCCTCGTCTTTTTTGGGAGGCTTGGTACCCCTATTTTGTTTGTGGGTTCCGCAGAAACCATTTCAAGGGTAATTATTTTGCACGGTTGACAGAAGGGAAGACGAAAGCTCGGCGACCTACCACGAGTTTTGCACAACCGGACGCAAAACTGAGTCGATTCGAAGCTGCCCAAAAAGCCCGCAAAAGCAGCTCACCTCATGTCCACAAAGGAAAGCCAGGATCAGGTTTACAAGGAACAAGGGTAATTCCCAGGACTACTTGAAGTACTCTCAAGGGGATTCCCCTTTCACGTCCCAGTGCCCTAAATCCCTATTCGTTCTGCCCAAGGCGCTCGCGCTGAAAGGAGGTGACGGCTCTGCGCACCGATTGCTCGAAGTTACCTGCGAGCCAACCCCTCCGAATGGGGTAGATGGCGTTCGGGGTACTAGTATCAAACCAAGAAGCCAGCTAGTTTGTCGGGTCCCCAACATGTCGGGAATGCCCATGCCGCGTATCAAAGACACGCCAGCGCAGCCTCTTGACCCTTCGTTAGGCCCAAAGAGTGGAGTTGCGGCAGGGCTCTGAGCCAAAGATCTTGCAGGATTGCTGACTTTGGACGTGACATGAGGGCCGCGTGTCCAAAGTATCACACCGAATACACCGAACATGCAGAATTACTGGAAGTCGGAATTCCTCGAGTTGACCCAGACTCGTGCGGTGCTGATTTGAGCATGGTCGAATTCAGGACTGGAATGGAAGAGCACGAGGGGCGGGAAAGAAACCATCTATGACATAAGGGGTCGCACCAAAGTGGTCTACCCAAAGCCATGCAAAGAGACAGGAGTGTGCGCAAATATTTCTGAATGCCACCAAAGCGGTCATCCACAATGAGAAAATTTAGCGGGGTTGCTGGTCATGCGAGGCTTCAAAGCCCAAGACATCCCTTCCACCAATTCTGGGTATGCTGGCAATCGGCCGGGACCTCTTAAATTGGACTCTTATGTTTGAGGATAAGGTTTCACGATGACCCAGTCGGAGACAAGCCACGCCAACAGCTGACACCACCTGGTCGTGCAACCCAAGGGATGTGTCAAAGCCCGTACGCTCCTCCAAATAGCGGCGATGTCGTCAAACCAACCATCGGATATGCTAGTTTGACATCAAATGGTTGGTTGATATTTTTCTATTTATTTGCTTGGAATTTCAGCGGAACAATCCGGTCGAAGGTCCACCTGCTTTGGGTCGCTGGATTTCCCCA